CCGTAGATCAATATGATCCTTTTACTTAACCTTTTTATCCTACAAGGAGCACTAGCGTTACCTACAGAAGAAGATAGATTTTTTAACATTGTTAATTTAATAAAACCAACCACAACAACTTCTACTACTTCTACAACTACAACTACTACCACAACTACAACAGCTACAACTAATCTGTTGGATGCTATTGGTGGAATTCTTTTTGGAACATCAACAAGAGCTTTGTCAACTTCAACAACTGCTGCTCCAACACCAAACAATCTGATTGATGCTATTGGTGGAATTATCTTTGGAACAAAAACGACATCTACAACTACTACTACCCAACCTGATCTTATTTCAAACCTTTTAGGACTTCTTGGAGGAGGAAGCTCTAGCTCCGGGTCTAGCTCCAGTCCCACAAATCCTATTGATGCAATCCTAGGTATGATCGGAGGACAATCCTCCTCCACACCTCCTTCACCAGATCTTCTAACTTCTCTTATCAATGTTCTAACAGGATCCTCAACTTCTCTTCCTATACCGGATATTCTTACTCTTCTTGGTATCCCTCCTAAACCTATTCCCAACCCTCTCCAGGACCCGGTTGGGTTTCTTCTCCATCCTCTAATAACTCCTATAATACTAGCAGCTGTAACCATGAACCTGCCTGCTCTACTACTCGCTAAAGCTAGTCTAGCAGGAGCAATCCTTCTCCAGCAAATCCTTTCTCCTTAACCTGGGAAGGATCAATTTTTTAAACATTAATGGAGTCACGGATATCTGTCTCAATCTCTAATCTTCAGAAATATAACCTTGGTGGTGGTCCAAAACTAAATCATTAAAACATGTGTTCGTGAAAACCGGTTCTTCATCACTAAAAAAAATCCATTTTTAAACCTTTTCAGGAGAGAGTTCAAGAAAAATGATCTTTTTTTAGGATTTAATTTCATATTATGTAAATGTATATTTAGAAATATAAATATTGCTTCTTGATTATTTTGCGCAATTTTCTTACCATAATTTAATAAAAAAAATCTAAAATAATGAAAGCTTAAAGGGAGTGTTCGCGAACACTCCCTATAGTCAAAGAAATATTATAATTTCAAATATAAGAATAAGTTTGCAAACATCTATTGCAATCTACGATATCAGGTTGCAGAGATAAAGGGATTTTAAAAATTGGAGTTTGTGGCAAAAACTCAATTCCTTTAATCTAACGTGCTTAAGTTTGCAGTACAGTAAAAAAATGTGATTATCTTCTCTTTCTAAATATTGTTTTTTAATGTCATGACACCAATAACGTTAATGCAGAATTTTTGTAAAATTTCATTGCCACCAATTGCACTTGATAATATATTTGCTAAACTAAATCAAGATCTGAATAGGACAGGACGTCTCCTAGATGTACCCCCCCCCCCCCCACCTTATTTAACTGTTCGGTCCTTTGTCACAATATTCATAGTTTGAAATATCAAAGATCTACAACGTAGGGTTGCAAAGATAAATAGGTTAGAAAATTAGAGTTTGTGATAAGAACTCAGTTCCGGTTCAGATTTTCCTTTTCTATACTTTTTTTGCCGGTGGATGCGTTAAAATATAAAAAGTAGACAAATATCAATTCTGTAAGTTTAAAGATTACTGATTACTGATTAAAGACCAAAGCACATCTAGCCCAGGTTCATAGTCCAGTGTGCCGCCCCCTCTACATTCTTCAGAACTAAGGCCGAATTTAAAGAATTTGAGCCGCGGCTAAAATTTGGTTGGTTCCACTTAAAATTGTATTCAATGTTTCAAGATTTAAGCCGGCGCTCGATTGAAACCGGTTTTCGGCGGATTTGAGCCGTGGCTCAAATTCATTAAATTTGGACTCTGATTATAATATTATTACCTAGATACCACAACCTTTCTGGGTTTAGATAGATAGATAGATAGATAGATAGTTTATTTCTAAAATACACTTATCTGTGTATACAAAACGAGTTTACAAATACAAATTGATAATTATTTTAACAGTACAAGTATAAAGGAACTAGGCTGTTAGGGCGCTTCGCGCTCATCTTCTATTTCAAGTTTTAAGTGTGGCTTTATTTCTGAGGTTCTTCTCTTTGTACAGTATAAAACAAAAACCAAAAAAGTTTGCGGATTTCATAATATTTTTTCGCGCATTTTCAAAATTTTACAAAAATATAAAAAAAGCCTCTAAACACACAATTTTTAAAATTTTGATCATTCAAAAACCTTCCCTGGGACCACACAAAATTTGGGCCCGATCGGTTCAGCCGTTTTTGCGTTTATTGGATCCAAACAAATAAACAGACAAGCCAAATTTTTAAATTACGAGGCTTTTAGGGCGCTTCGCGCACATCTTCTCGTTAAATTGTGAACATATTCTTTTTGTTTACATTTTAAAACAAAGAAGAAACAAATTTTGCGGATTTAAAAAAAAATCGCGGATTTTCAAGAATTTAATTTTTTTTACAAAATTAAAAACCTTTAAAACACATTTTTTTAAATTTTTATCATTCATAAACCTTCCCTGAGGTCACGTGATGTCCCACAAAAAATTTGGGCCCGATCGGTTCAGCCGTTTTGACGCTTATTGGATACAAATAAACAAACAGACAGACAAGCCAAATTTATAGATAGATAGATAAGGTGGAAAAATAGCTTTTTGCAGTTTTTATTATTTTTTCAACCTAACTTCAATAATGATAACAAAACATTTCAATTAATAGATTTGAGGAGAACTTTTACAGATCAGAAACAGATCAAGCAGTACTGAAGTGTACTTGATGTTGTTACAAACGAATAAACTAATAAGTTATAAAATCACTTATTAACTGAAATGGGTCTATTTACACTGAAAAATTGCTGTACCCCATGTTCATTTAAGTATTTAAAGTCATAACTTGAGTCTAAAAGTCGACTTCTAATTCCAGAGTTTTCTGATTATCACTGTATAAACTACAAAAATTAGTACATTACAGTTTTATATATAAACTGTAATGTACTAATTATTGTAGTTTATAAGAACTGTAACGTAATAACTATTGTTCTTATAAATAATAGTTATAGTTATAATAATAGTTCTTATAAACTACAATAATTTTTACATTACAGCTTTATAGAATATTATGATTATCTGTACACCCTACATCTATTCTTTATCAATAACTTAACTACAATTTTCAAAAACTGCCAAAAAGGATTGCAAAAATCACCAAAGTAAAGAAAACCAGAAAGTCGATTGGTATAATCCCATTTATTGCAAAAATTTCTGAAAATATTAATGCAATATTTTCACGATTAGATAAAAAACTTTTTTAAAAACATCATATGATTTAAGGTCTCTAATTTTTTTCGGGGCGGCCATGAGAAATGCCTTTTCAAAAAAGGTAAAATAAAATAAAATATTTATTAGATGATAATATAGGTTGGCAATGTAATTTTTACAATAAAAATATATTCTCATGATGTAAAAAGATCTGAAAATGGATGATGAAAACTTAAAAAAATATTTGTTTAGACATATTGATGTATAAAGTTTTTTATACGCAAGTAAAATAATAAATAATAAAGATAACCAGATAAATCTCTAAACATATGATTTTACTTCTATTTTTAAGTATTAATCTTAATAACGATGATGGAATGCATGTATGCGTTTAAAAAGTATAATTTTACAAACTCCTGAGCTTAATAACTTGAAACCTTTTCAATCTTTACACAACAAAGTTCATCAACAATATACGAAAAAGGTGTGAAAGACTTCAGAAAAAATTACTTCCAAAAATTTAGTTTTATTAATGTCGTCTTGTCGTCAGATTTTTGACAGTATACTTGCATAATGACAAAGTATATTTTTTTGAGTCATAATAAGCCAAAAAGGCACAAAACAGAGCATTACAAAACGTTTCTACTATAAAATGTTCCCCCACAAAAACGTTTCCCTACACAAAATTTTCCCTCCAAAACTTTTCATCCAACATCCTCATAAATGTTTCAAATAAATGTTTTCCTACGAAGCATTTCCACACGAAACCTATCTTCACTGCAAATATTTTACTAATGAACATTTCCACCCAAAAATGTTTCCCTTTACAACGGTTCCGTACAAAAAGTTTCCCAACAATACATTTTCCTACAAAATGTTTCCGTTCAAAGTTTTTTCTTACAGAAAGTTTCCTTACAAAAACATTTCCTACAATAATTTCCCCACAGACATATTCATAAAAAAATGTTTTCCTTCTCACAATGTTTCCGTTTAAGTTTCCTGACACAATATTTTTCCTCACAAAACATCTTTGTGCACAAAATATTCCTCTCCCCTACAATGTTTCTACCACAAAATGCTATACAATACATTGTCAGTATTTTTGGTTAGTTTAGGAAAAGACAATACTTTCTAAGCCGCAGCGCCACTCCCCTACTCCTCAGTGGCGACTTTGCCTTAACCGAACTTTATCCCAAATAATGACAAACAAGATTACATTTGGAAAACGTTTTGTTGTTTTGTTCTTTGGTAAAGACGTTATGTATGAAAACGTTTTGTAAATGCTCCATAAAATCGTTATTTTTGCGGTTAAACTTAATTTCTTTGTTTTTAAAAAGTTCCTTCATATTTTATCCAATTTTGTTTAAATATTTGAAATTGGAGTTCTCACTTCAGAATAGTCATGTGTACATTCTCTATTTAAAGTATTTATCTATTTCACCTTGAAAACAGTAAGCAATAAATTTGCTGTATATGCTTGACAAGGATATAGCAAAACATTTGACAGAACTTATAAAGTTTTGATTAAAAGTTAATTTAATAATGAAAATAAAATTACAGACGTACAATATATTTCTCAATTTAACCTTGCACCTGGAGACAAATTAGAGGGTACAAAAAGGTTTACTGTCAGTTCTAACCCCTAAGTCGTATCCTATACCTAGAGAAACATGTTTCTTATTCTTCATATATTCCTTATCCAAGGTTCCTTGGCAATACGAGTACAACCTGAGGATAGATTTTTTCACTGGTTGTTCCGACCAGTAACAACAACCGCTGCACCGACAACAACTGCTGCACCAACAACAACAACAACTAACATTTTAGAAAACATTGGAGGAATATTGTTTGGAACAACCACTACAGTTCCTCCAACTACGACAACTAAGCCTCCATCTCCCCTGGACACACTAGTTGGGATTTTTTTCCCATTTTTAAATCCAGCATCAACTTCAATTCCAACCACAACCACCGCTCCAGCTACAACTGCATCAACAGCTAAACCACCAAATATTTTTGAACTAATTGGAGGCCTTCTTTCTCCTTCTACTACAAAAACATCTACAACTACTACCACTACAACAACATCTACAACAACATCTACAACTTCAACAACATCTACAACTTCAACAACATCTACAACTACTACTTCTACCACCACTACAACATCTACAACTACCACTTCTACAACTACAACAACATCTACAACTACCACTTCTACAACTACAACAACATCTACAACTACCACTACCACTTCTACTACGACAACAACAACACCAACAACGACTACTACTACAGCAACTGTTACTGTAACAGTTGTTGATCCATTAGGTGCTCTGATTGGGATCCTGGGCTAGATTATCTCTAGTTGGGATCCTGGGATAGAATATCTCTAGTTGGGATCCTGGACTAGATCATTTCTAGTTGGGATCCTGGACTAGATTATCTCTAGTTGGGATCCTGGGCTAGATTATCTCTAGTTGGGACCTTAGGCTAGATTATCTCTAGTTGGGACCTTAGGCTAGATTATCTCTAGTTGGGAACCTGGGCTAGATTATCTCTAGTTGGGATCCTGGGCTAGATTATCTCTAGTTGGGATCCTGGGCTAGATTATCTTTAGTTGGGATCCTGGGCTAGATTATCTCTAATTGGGATCCTGGGCTAGATTATCTCTAGTTGGGATCCTGGGCTAGATTATCTCTAGTTGGGATCCTGGGCTACATTATCTCTAGTTGGGATCCTGGACTAGATTATCTCTATGTAGTTGGGATCTTGGGATAAATGTCTTTTTACGAATTATGTTTATTTTTTAGTGGTACGAAAGGCTCAAAATTGAGGGTATAAAATGTTCTTTAAACAGGCGACACACATTTTTTTCTCGTATATTCAGTGTTATTTGTTTCTTATAAATAAAATTGTATATAATTTTAATAATATGTAGTATATTAATTCTATTCAATTTTAAAAAATGGTTTTAAGCTTTGTAACAAATTTAGCCTATCTGAAAAAATGCTTGCCAAAAGTTCTTGTCTCACATAACCTCAGCAAGACTAACTTTGTTGCATATAACTAGCTGGGTCCACTAAACACTGGGTTCATTAGTCGGGGAGGTTCGAGTTAATGTGCAGATAGTACGTTACACTAGACTTGTAATTTCTCGTACCAGTTCAGATCATGCAACGATAGGCACCCTCCACTAAAACCCACTGTATCTTCGGCCAGTGTACTGCAAATCATGCAATACACACCGAAAGCTTAGTTGAGGGTGTACAGGACCCATACGGCCTTCTGTTGAAAACTGCAATAATTAGGAACTGCAATAATGAGGAAAACCTTATTAAAATCTGATAATCTGATCCTTTACCTGCTCACTAAGCTAATCATGCATGTAATATAACACACCGTCTGAATCAAGATGGCGGAAAAGTAATGTTTGTTTACATTTTACTGTGACATAATAGGACAGCTCAGGAACTTGTTTTCAATGAACAAAAAAAGTGATGCCAAGATGGCAATGACTGATTCACAACAGTATCCTTAAAAGCTTTAACTGGTCATGTATGATTTAGATATCAATGATTATAATTTTACAAACTGATTATTTTCAATAAAAACAAAATCTTCCATATTATTGATCAGATAAAGGTTTCAAGGGTACTGCACTGTTGTGAATCGGACATTGCCATCTTTGCATGGAGGATCACGTACTTGTAACTACACTTAAATTCCCCTTTAAACTGTTAAATACGTCCTGCTTGAATAGTCTTTATGATAAAACTAGTTTTAATTAAGATCTCAGCTCCCAATGAGAATAATCCATTATAGCTTATTAGATTAGCTCTGGCTAATTTCTGCTACTGGGATATTAAAAGAAAGAAGCTCATGAAAATTCTCTTTTCTGAAGTTACAAATTTAGTAAAGAATTCTCCTTTATAACATACTAAAGCTAACCTCAAGCATATTAAATTCCCGAATATAAAGTTAAATATTGAAGCATAAAGATGAGAATATTCAACCATTAACCATCCAACCTGTCCCCCCCGGGACACCTAAATCACATTAGGACAACCTTATCCAATATAGAAGTGCACTCAATCCTACCCACAGGGATTAGTAAGAATATAAAAATGTGATTGAAACTTTCTTACTTTCATCTTTCTCTCCTCATAGTTTAAACTTTATGATTATACATTTTAAAATCTTTCTTTTATGATTTGCATCTCTATTTTCTTTTTTAACATGCTTGTAAGCTTTACCATTCGTTTTTATTCTCATTTTCATTTTTCTTAACTTCTCGTCTTTTTCTATTATTATCCCATGAGACCTCCATAATCTAACTCTTCTCTTTTGACCTTCTCTTTTGGCTAATTTTTTCCTTTTCCTCACTTCTGCTCTTTTTCCTTAGACCTTACTTATTTCTTTTAACCTTATTCTTTTTTGGTATTTTCTTTTTTTGAGTTTTTGCCACAAGCTTTTAGTTCTAATCCCTATGTCCTTGCAACTCAATGTTGTGGACTTTAGTATATCAAACTATGAATTTTGTTAGATCAAATAAAATAAGTATGAAAGGTCTACACTAGACAGGCTGCAAAGATATTGGGATTAGAAAACTTGAGTATATGTGACAAAGACTCAATTCTTTTCTGTCTTTTATCTAATCTTTTTTTCTTTTCCTCATTTTTATTTTTTTACTTGTACATTTTCTGTATTTGTTTTATTTCACCTTCATCTATAACTTGCTTTTAAACTTTCTGTTATGATTTGTTCTCCTGAATCATGAGTGTTTAACGTTAACTCCTGAACTTAAACCTACAGCTTTGTATCCCGTAATCTGCTAAACTCAAGGTTTTCATAATCAAGACAAAATTATTACAGCAGGATGTAATAAATACAATTGGTATACGCCCCTTTACCCCCTTCAACCTACCCCTACCCACAGAATATCCTGTATAACACTTTTCTTCATTAGATAATGCTTACAAATATAGAAAATATGAATGAATATTACACTTTTGTGAGAAACGAAGTAACTATAATGTATTTATGAGTTTACAGATATTGTTAAACCATAACCTGAACTCTACTATTCTCTGGTTCTTCTCATGATATGAGAGATCATGAGTGTAGATCTACAGTACAGCTTAGTTCTTTATCCTTCTCAAGTCAAGTTTGATATAAATCAAATTAACAGATGTATAAAACATTGTGTACATAGCATAAAACTGAAAAAAATAAATTAAAAGTGATATCAGTGGTCTCCATCTTTGAAACCGTATTTAAACTCTGGAAGCTTGTCTTTGTTCTAAACCTTGAACTTGAAGTCTAGAACTTTGTTTAACTCTGAAACCTTGTTTTAGCACTGGATCCTTGTTTTAGCCTGAAACTCAATTCTTCAACTCTCAAAACTTGTTCTTACACTGGATCCTTGTCTAACCTGAAACCTAATTTTAACTCAGAAACCTTTTTCTAACTCTGGAACCTTGTTTTAACTCTGAATATTTTCTCTATTCTCTGAATAAAGTGTCCTAGCCTGAAACCTTATTTCAACTCTAAAACCTTATTTTACTCTGAAACCCTATTTATAGACATACAACCTTTTTTTAACTCTTGCACTTAGTTTCACTCTGGATCCTTGTCCTAATCTGAAACCCTGAATCAACGCTGAAACCTCTGATCTTGTCTTAATCTAAACCCCTATTTTAACCTTTCAAATAAGTGTAACGATGAACTCCTGTCAATTACGGCTCTGAACTGATATATCCTTTATTTATGGTTTTATAAACCAGGAGCTGTTGGAACTCAGTGGATCTCTAGTATAGAAGCTGTTGGAACTTTGTGGATCTCTAGTATAGAAGCTGTTGGAAATCACTGGATTTTAGTCTATAAGCTGTTGGAACTCACTTTATCTCTAGTCTAAGAGCTGTTGGAACTCACTTTATCTCTAGTCTAAGAGCTGTTGGAACTTAGTAGATCTCTAGCAAAGACTTTGTTGGAACTCACTGGATTTCTAGTCTAGGAGTTGTTGGTACTAACTTTATCTCTTGTCTAGGAACTGTTGGAACTTAGTGGATCTCTAGTCGATGAGCTGTTGGAATTCAGTGAATCTCTAGTCCAGGAGCTGTTGGAACTTAGTGGATCTCTAGTCTAGGATCTGTTGGAACTCACTGGATCTCTAGTCCAGAAGCTGTTGGAACTTAGTGGATCTCAAGTCTAGGAGCTGTTGGAACTTATTGGATCCCTAGTTTAGGAGCTGTTGGAACTCAGTGGCTCTTTAGTCTAGAAGGTGTTGGAACACAGAAGATCTCTACTTTAAGAGCCATTGGAACTCATTGGATCTCTAGTCTAGGATCTGTTGGAACTCAGTGGATCTCTAGTCTAGGAGCTGTTGGAACTCAGTGGATCTCTAGTCTAGGAGCTGTTGGAACTCAGTGGATCTCTAGTCTAAAAGCTATTGGAACTCAGTGATCTCTAGTCTAAAAGCTGTTGGAACTCAGTGGATCTCTAGTATAGGAGCTATTGGAACTCAGTGGATCTCTAGTATAGGATCTGTTGGAACTCAGTGGATCTCTAGTCTAGGATCTGTTGGAACTCAGTGGATCTCTAGTATAGGAGCTGTTGGAACTCAGTGGATATCTAGTCTAGGAGCTGTTGGAAATCGATCTCTGGTCTAGGACGGAATATGAATAAGAATCTGATTGCCTGTAGTATACGGGAGTATCTAAGGGCTCTTCAAACTAAAACATATTAATAGGAATATAGGGAATATCTGAGCTAAGCATCTTTCTGATGCATAGAAGAGGGTAAGAGAGGAGAGGAGGGGGGGGGGATAGAGAATTGAGTGTATATGCATATAGATGTCAAAACCTATTAAAATGGTGATGTGAGAACGGAATTATTTTTTTAAAACCAAAAATAAGGGAAATCGTTGAAATGTTTACTTTGTAAAAAAATAAATCGTTGTAAAGTTTTTTTTAAATAAATGATAATGAATTAATTGAGTCAAATGGTAGGTGCGAAAAAGTAGAATTTAAAAACTTACTGCTTTACATACTGCTTTACAACAAAACAAATTGGAAGGAGTTTGCTGTAAGGAGCTAATGCTGAAAGGATATTGGATAAAAAGAAGAGGATATGAGAATCCAAGATTAGCAAGAATGAAAATAAAAGACTAGACTTTCATTCCGCAGATTTCTCTGCTTTTATTGGTGAATTTTCAAAACTGTCAAAAATTTGGCCTGGGATCATCGGAGGTCCTAAAAACAACATCAAACAAACCAACAAAACAGACAGGCTAAACACCTATATCGAAGAAGGAGTAAACACCAAATATATCAAGAAGAGGAGGGTTGAGGAGAGGAGGTAATGAGTATAAGAACTATGCTTCTGGATGTACGCCTTCAGCAAGGATTCAGTTAATCAATCAATCAATCAATCCAGTTCATTATATTTTACTCTATCTGTATATATTAGTCACGATGCTTAAAATTAACTGCATCTCGTTAAAATATGCTAAGCTACGGAAATTTTTTTCTTCTTTTCCGGAAAACATTTTTAGATAGTTTGAATCAAGAACTCTCATAACAGAAAGTGTACTGCATTTGCTGAGCCTTAAATTTAAAAGTGTATCGTAGAACGGAACTCCCGAGTTTCCTTTTTGGGGTCTTAACATTTATGTTGATTTTTATTTAAGAGGTTCGAAAAAAATGAAGAATAAGAAGAAACTAAATAAAATAATATTTCAGAACAAAAATATTGATATCTACAAAACTGGTAGCCCCATTTGTGAAACCCAGGTTTCAAAACTGGTTTTCATAAAGATACCCTGTCTTAAGTTTTGGGCTCTGAGCCCGAAATTTAAAAGAGTATCGTTGAACGAAACTCTCGAGTTTCCTTTTTTGGGGTCTTAACATTTTGTAGATTTTTATTTAAGAGATTCGACAAAAATGGAGAATATGAAGAAACTAAATAAAAATATATTTGATATCCACAAAACTGCCTAACCCCATTCGAGAAACCCGGGTTTTAAAACCCTGTTTTGGGCTCTGGGAGAAATACTAAAACACGCGCAGTGCTGGCCAGTTTGAGATTTATTTACAATTCTCCCAGAAAATTCCATTTTTTATTCCTTGGTTTGAATGAGACGGAACGAAGACATGTATATCTATGTTTATAGATCTTCGATAAGTTTTATATTGGCAATATCTAGAATTTGAAATATAAACCGTTGAGTGAAGCCCTGATATATCAGGGTATAGTAGGCTTAGGTTTCTTATATATTTAGAATTAAAACAATATGCTAATAAGTAATTATATTTAACAGTTATTATATTTGAAGAACTAAATGATTTCATAGGAAGCGCTTTGAACTAAAAATTAAAATTATGACGCGAATTTTTCCTATTAATTCTTTTAAGGTGAAGCTCCAATTAAGAAAACTTTGAAATTTTCCTATTGAAGGCAGCAAAAAAGTAATATAGGCTTAAAACTCAGGGTCAAGTTCTGACAACACTTCAAAATCGGCCGCATTCCATTAGTTAATAAATAATTATCATTGCTGTGTAGATTGTTGTGTAATAAGAAAAGGATTCTAGAATATATTACAGAAAGAAATCCGTTTACACGTCCTGCTCTAGAGCAATTTATAAACCGAAAGAGAAGTACGGGCCGTGTGTTTACAATAGAAAACACTCAACTACAGTAAGAACCAACGAACTGTGGAATTGGAAGACGACTGTTAGCCTCAAGTTATGATTTAAGGAACATCTAACCAGCAATTGGACAGTGTTCACAAACTATTTTCCTTATTCAGTTTTTTAAGCTAGTATAGTAAAACTATTGGAGTTGTAACAACATCAATTTACGCTAAAATATTGTTTAATGTCGTCTCCTCATTCCACAGTTCTCACTGTATATAGCAATCTAGCTTTCTAGAAATTTGTTCTCTCCTAGCCGACCACAAC